TCTCATCAATTTTATCTTGAGATATTTGTTGTGAAATTGGAGAAGAATTCATCTTAATTCCTGTAATCAAAGATAATCTAGGAGTAAGATTTTTTTCTGACTTTTTGGGTAGATAGAGCTTAGTAAGAAAACAAAGCACTTACTATCCTTCAAAGAAGCAGGGGTTACTGTCAACGAAGATGATGAATTGCAACGGAATCAGAGGAATTGAAGGAGTCAATGGAGATGGGAGTTGATGGAGATGATGAATTGCAAGGGTTACTTCTCTAACTTATGCAATTGTTTGAAAAATTGAAGGAATTAGAGGAGTTGATGGAGATGGGAGGCGATGGAGATGATTGCAGAAGAGGCAGAAAGGAAGGGTTGGGGATTAAGAGAACGACGTCGTTTTGGTTGGGACTCCAATTTTTTTTTTTTTTTTTTGGAGGTAAGACTAATGGGCACTTTACCATTTAAAATATATATTTTCAGTATTTATTAAAATATACAATTTAGATAAATTACATTACTATGAATTTGAAATTGAATTGAGATTAGTTCTTATTGAGGTATTTTTACAAACACTTAGTAAACAATTTTAGTTGCTCATGTCAATACCTCTATTTCTCTCTCTCTCTTTGAAGTACTGTGTTAAAAGAGTCAAAACATCATAACTCCAGTGAGGCAATTTATCGAATACGTGGTGTGCAAAGCAAAACAAGACTACTCTTCTAGGTCTCATCACCTCAAAGACCCAAAAATTTTCAAATATCAACCAACAATTCAATTGAATAAATTTAGCTAAAAACTTTGTCAATAATCACTCACAAACAGAAAGGACTAATAGAGTTAAGCACCTTCGTTGAAAACGAGTTCCATTGCCCCTTCATTCTTGAACGAAATATGGAGCCCAGTCAACTAAATATATGAAGTTAGAAGTTAGAACGGGTCCATGCCTTTAAATACAAGCACTAGTAAAGTGTGTGCTAATTAGTTCTAAGAAAAAGAGGAGCAAAGTGAAGGGAGGTTGCCAAGCAAATAGGCTGGTGGGGAAGGAGGTGCATTGACGCTCTAAATTCATAACCATTCCTTTGCCTAACCCTTCATACCCACATAAAAAGAAGAGATAGCTAATAATTTAAGCTTGATTGGCAGACTCGTGAGTGTGCTAGCCATGATATAGATTTAAAATTTACATTGAAAAATCATATCCACTATAAAATTAAAAGAAAGAGAAGATCTATGCAAAAGGAGAAAAGAGCCCTGATAAAAAATTGTCAATTGCTAATGGTGAAGTTGATCAAATATTTCATTAGGGATCTTACTTAATTTGACGAAATACTAGAATTAAGTATTGGAATTCATGGGGTAGTCAAGGTATTTGAAATACATGCAATTTTTATTTTGAAATCTACAGTTTCAAATACATGTATTTGAAACAAATTCAAATACATATTTATTTAGTATAACAAATAATGTATTTGAATTTTGAGTCCCAAATTCAAATACACTCCAAGTAAACTCACGTTACCAAACTTAGCAATTAAGAAAATTCAGATATATGGACATGACTTGAAGTATAACAGAAGATTTACATGCATTTTGAGTAGAAATAGCATTAGACAGACAATATGCAAAAGTAGTGCAGTAGAATCATCGGCTTTGTATTTGCTTTCATCGTTGGCGAAAAAGATCAGATACCGATGATATTGTCTAAGGAAGCCATTGACCTTTGAAGAGTTGCGTAACCGTTCTACCCATGATCCATTCTAGTTCAGTCGGTGACAAGGGTACTTGACTGGCAACAAGAGACACTGCCTCTTTTGCTCCTTTATAGCCACATTCGGGAACAACATATGGGAAATCACTGCGGTTTTATTACATTCATAATCATCAAGAAATTCGTGCTTTGCTTTGTTCCACCAAACTCTATTTTCATTCACCGAATGTGTAAAACAAATCATTAGGTTGAAAGAGATAGAATGAAAGAAGCATTACCTGCCCCACATGATACGATTTGCACCAAAACTGGAGACAACCTCAGCTAGTTGTGGGGTCAAATCCTGGTATGGAAATGGCATTCTTGACACCCTGAACATGGCACTGAACTTAACATATACCTGGAAATTGAAAATTTTCAAGGTGTCAATTAAGAATTTGCGATGTTATCAGGATTTGTGACTAGCATACACAGTCATGCTTACAAACAGTGAAGAACTTAGTATTATTAGGTGTTTAACAAAGCATAATGGATTAACAGGTTTCATGTTTCTTCTATTAACAGTGACCATTTTATTCATTTCATTGTTCTCATTTAACAATCAATTTACAGGTGCTTTCTTAGAGGGTAAAGAATAATCTATGGGAACTTTAAGGCCTACAACCTATGGACTTGGGAGCAAAAAGAAAGAACAAAATTGTTTCTTCTAAGGCAAGGGTCCAAGGATAATAAAGGAAAGTGATGCATTCCAGCAGTATCTAGAGCCAATTAAACTTGCAACTTCCAGATGGTGGCAACCGCGAAGAAATGGACCTTATAATATAAAAATGAATTCAAGAAGTTCTATTGGAATGTGGTACCTGTGAGAATCTTGATAGCTTTAAAAGCTCTGAGAAAGCAAGCTTTTCCTCATCATTCCTACAATGTGAGAGAAAAGAAAAAATAATATGGTCTTTATCCATCTAAGGATTTAAATATTTCTACCTGACAAACGCAAGTTAAAAGATCCTCCCATAAAAATTAAAAAAAATTTAAAATAAAATAAAATAAAATAAAAAACAGAAAGAAAGAAAGAAAAAAGGAAGAAGTTAATGGACCCCACATTGGCGGTTTGCAGAAGGCCAAATGATCAAGCAATACCGTTGTTGAAGGAAATTCTGTGCATAGTTCCTCAATTTCTGAAATATGTAAGTTTAGACCCTGAAAATGCCCAAATTTTGTATATACCGTCATCACAGAATTGTGCTTCAAGTATATGCCACTTTCCAATGGGGAATCACATAAATCAACATGAACAATGATAGGGCAGAAGGGTAAACCTTCATACACAATAATCCCACTGGCACTCCAAGATCTCCTGCTTTTGAAAACATTGCCTTCCCAACTTCATTTGTCATCTGAATGGAATAAGAATAATATAAACAACACTACCATAGACAATATGCTGTATTTGTTCAGTTTTAGGCACTAGCCTTGTATGCAATCACACATGACAAAATCACAACATGCTTGATGGAAGTCAAATGAACAGTAAAATAATCTAAAATATCAAACTTCAATTCTAGACAATCTAAAATATCAAACTTCAACTCTAGACGAGTTTAGATATGTAAGTAGTTGATAAGATATTTCTTCCATTACTGTCAGCCAGTTTCATCATTCTCTCCAAGGAACCCAAGCATTGCTTGATGCATTATGAGTAAAATACCTTTTGACCAGAAGGCCAAAGATACGGATTGAAGCGAACAGCTCGATAACCATCCTATCATAAAAGAAGTTATATTCTCAGCATGATTTGTCTAAAGAAGAAGAGAATGACAGGGTTATTTGATCTGATCATAATTCAGAACCTTCAACACAAGATCTTCAAGCTGCTTAATTCCACTACCATCTTCTGCAGGATTTGCAAGGCAGCAACCAACGAATTTGTTAGGGTATTTCTTCAGGGCACTGTCAAATGATAATCTGACCATCAGAATCTGCTAGTTTATATATATGCTAGCATTCATATTAGTGACACTATATTTTCATCCATTCCAACTGCAATGTTTTATGGAGCTTTTGGTCACATAAAGTTCAATTTACTACAGCATAAGGAAAACAAAATAAAAGAAAGTTGTAGTCAATATTTAAATTCATCAATCTCAGTTTGACAGACCTTGTGACCAGAGAATGATCAAACTTGTGATTAATGGGCTGAACAATGAGTGCACCATCTACACTTGCCTCTTCCATGCACTGCACCATGAGAAACATAGGAAATTGGCAATGGAACTTGAAAGAGAAGTAGGAAGGCTACAAAGCAAAAACTCCCCCATCCTGGTTTCGAGAAATCAGCAATTATCCTATAACAAATCCGTGTCCTATCAAAAACACTCACCCATCTATGCTATTAGATAAAGTCATTAAAATCAACCAAGAAAATCAAACTGATCCATTAAAAGGGCCAATATTCTTAGATTTTTTTTAATATTTAACCTTAAATGCAAAGCAGAAAGAAAAACAAAAGTAATCTCTTTCCAGTAAATAACAATTCTAAGAAATTATCCAAAATATCATTTGTAACTGAGCAGAAAAGGCTTCAGCATAGTTGTTGAAGAATCGGGTTTCTATTCTATACCTGGAGCAAGAAATTTAGATTTCCAGCCAAAGTGGGTTCTTGCCCAGGAAAGTAAGGGTATTTATCAGCAGCCTGCACAAGAACAAAATTTCAGCAAATTAAGTTGCAACTGGAAGTACTTTCTTACTTTGGAAGCAGAATCTTGAAACTACTTCCGATTCCCATCTTAAAAAAACAACGAAAATGCCCATAAAGGCGAGAATTTGGCTTTTGGTATCTGATTTTACCTCTTCAGGAGATGCCCATATGTGGAGATGTGAGTCGATTATCTTGGTCTCTGAAGAATCCGTTCTGCTCTCTGCTTCAGTTGCTGCCATTTTCACTGCAGGTTGTTTCCTTGAAAAGGGTAGGCTGAATGGGGATTGTAATGGTGGAAAGCGATAACCGTAAGTGAGGATCGAAGCTGATGTGAGAGGATTCACTGACCTCAATGCCATGGCAGATAATATAGTTGGTAAAATACTGAAATATAAAAACTTTTTAGTCCCCGTATAAAAGGGAAAAAAAAAATCAAGTCCTCCTAAATTATACCTGCCAAACAGGTGGGATTCAATGGGTTTAGATTTGGTCATTTCGGATATCAGATTATTTGAATTGGGTTATTTTGTGTGATGGGTTAAAGAGGTTGATCCATAATTCATTTACATGGGTATTGGAATTGGATTGGATCGATAGACTCTACTTTTGAAAAATTAAAATTTTTTTATATTTTTTTATATTTTTTTAAACAAAATTTAATACTAATTAATTATTTAATTAAAAAAATTTTATTATTAATTAATTATTTAGTTAAAAAAACTTTATTAAACATTAATTTCCATTTCATAATTCAATTTTTTTTCTAATGTCAAGAAAAAAAAGAGAAAAAATTAATGATTATATATGCGAAACTAAAATATATGTCAAATATATAATATATATACAATATTTAGTATTCATAATTTCATAAATGTATTAGCCTTCATTAAAAGAAAAGACATGAAGAATCAGAGTTCAAAAGAAAAATTCAATATATATATTAATATCTAGTGCTTATTCAATATTTATAAAAGTATTATACAAAAAATACAGTTCTATTCAATATTTAGGAAGGCATTATATTAAAAATATAACCCTATTCAATATTAAAATTTAAAAAGTAAATCCAAAATATGTCTAACCAAATACAAGAAGAAATTAGATCGGAGTTGATTTTTATTAATTAAGAACAAATTAGCAATTAAGAACGGACCTTGATGTTTTTGTTATTCTTGTTTTTATACTTTTAATGGTATCTCAACCACTGGGTTTTGATTTTTAGTATGCATTCTTGCTTTTTATTTTAAACAAATGATATTTTTTATGATGTCATGTAACATAATTTACTCTGTGTCACATAATCTAATTTTTTACGCAAGTGCCACCAAAGAGAAGGATTAGAGAGAGCTTGAGATGAAGAAGGGGAGAGCGAGAGTGGAGAAGAGGAAAAGTTAAGAGAAAGTGAAATTGATAATAGGTTGGAGTTTGAGTATTTTATTTATTTCTACTTTTAAGATTAGAAAATTAGAAATTTAACATTAATTTTTAAATAATCTAATAAAAATGAATAAAAAAAATTTGGATCATTTCGAGTGACTCGACCCACTCATGATCCAATCCATTTGGATTCAAATAATTTCAATTCGGGTTATTTCGGATTTCATATTAACATATAGAACCTATGCTCCTATCCATAACAGATGAGTTGAGTTGGATTTTTGAATTGAGTTCAATTTTACCAAGTCTATCCTTATTGGAGGAAACTTATGGTATATTTGATTTAAAGGGCAAGAATGAAAGGTACCATATCTTTTTGTTTTCTTCTATTTATTTTCTTGCGGATGTGGCTATTTAAAATTTTATTATGACTTAAAATTTCTAATTTAATGCGAAACAAA